AGTCAAACCTCTTTTCATAATGTTTAAAATGGCACGGACACTTTATGTGGTGGATGTAGTTTTCATTCTTTAAATGACACAGTGAGTGGACAATGATGGTGGCAGTTAATAACAGTGCGGTGCCAACAGCAGTTCCCGGGGATCTGACTAGCTGTTCTGCACTCTATATTGGCCTGTTCTTCAAGTGCAGAAAAAAGCGCAACCTAGATGAGAATTTTTTGCTTCAGTGGCTATTGAAAGATGAGGCAATAAACTGCTAAACTTGAGTAATCACACACTCCCCCGGGAATCTCTCAAATGGGGATGGTCAAAAAGCTTGAAATTTGAGCCCCGTCGCCACAGCCTGAGCTTTAACATTTGATGAGATTCATTATTGTGGCCAACTGAATACAAGTGTCTACTGATTACTGCGGCCGCCATTTAAAGTTCCCACCAGTGTGCGTTTCAGCGGCACAGCGTCAATAGGATTAAAATCTCAATTCAGTCCAGTCAATTCTCCAGTAACAAGATTTCATTAAGAGTAGACAGGGAGGAAAATGGAGTGGAAAGCACTGAAACAGCTGGACTATAAATTATAAAAATGCGCTTTCTGCTAACTGAACACACCTTCAGCTTGCACATGCATTATTATTTAATGTTCAGAGGAGCTAGTTTTATGTAAATGAGAGTCTCTCCTATTCTCTTCTCAATGCCAGGTATTTCCAAACCAAGCAAAGGGAGAGATTATGCAAACCAATTAACATATGAAAATAACGTATTAATATACTGTCTCTGAACTGTATCCAATCAGTTCCTTTTCACTGGCGTGTGTACAAAACAATTAAAATTAAATTTATACTGCTTTTCCCTAACATATTCCGCGGCAAATGGAATTGGTGAAACAAATGCTGACAAAAGTTTTACAGGCCTCTGTTCTTCCTTAAAGGCACACCGACTTTAAGAATATTTATAAGATGGCACTAATAAATTCAACTCTTTGTTTCTCCCTAATGATGTGTGCATCGGAGACAAAGCACTGAAATCCATAGCAGTAGCCAGGTGCTAATGAATGGCTTACATTATGCTGTCCGCTAATTACTACTGCACCATAAATAAAACACAAGACAATCAATTAGTGTAGACGTTTGTTTGTTAGTCATGGGCACAGGGTCCTCCAGGCCAAGGCTCTACTATAGGCCTCATATCTCCATGGGGGTCATTTAAACATGGACGTGTGCAGAGAAATCACATTTACACTTTCAGGCATGGCTTCACAAAAAAATCACAAAACCACTTTGATGGAGTTGAGAAATGTGCAGAAATTGTGAGCACTTTGCAATTTAATTAGGCACTGAATGCAAACAACCACTTTTGTTTCCATGTATTTTAACATAGCCAATCTCTCCTCCGCCCCAGCTCCTCGTCTGTCAGACACGTGTGTGATCTGAACCAGAGCGGTGCATTAACACTGCATGTGGAGCACACTAACTGAATGATCTCAGCATTATGTGGCCTCTGGCCCGGCCTATCTGCGCACTTTGATGCATAATTCCTGCATTAATGTAATTTACATTTTAACACAGTCCCAAAAGTAAAGTGATTAGTGGATAGTTATCTCCTATAATGTGCCAAGAGGAGCCACATGTCACATGTGCTCACAGGGACAAGAGTCACAGACTGGCCTGGTACAGTATCATGGCCATAAGGAAGGTCAAATAACTCCCCCCACACAGAGTATACTTCCTACAAATTCTGCAGAGTGAATGATCCACTAAACACAGCACTTAAAGTAAAGTTTATCTGGAGGATAAAAATGGGTGTTTTGATCTTTGTTCAATACAGGTAGTTAAATGTTATGTTTGAACTTAAATTCTGAATTGTCATGTGTCTGTCATCAGATTTTTGTTTGTTTTTGTTTTTTCTGACTGAACAAATTAAAGCCCACATTGATGATAGAAGTGCTTAAATAAGTGCAACAGCGTTATAGTCCCATGATGCAATGCTCCCAGTGGTTACATCTGCTCCATTCTTTCATGTGCTCCATTGTTGGGTGGAAGCTGTCACATTAGAAGGAGCGTGGTGCTTCTTCCCACCCCCAGGTTGGCCTGTTTTCCCTGTGCAGCAGTTGGCAGGGTGGCAGGCCCATACAAAGGAGCGTGCACCGGGAGCACCGAGGGGAGCACCGTTAGAAGCAAAACAGTTTGGGAATTAAGGTCATTAATTTTCCACTTTCAAGGGCTGCCACACAGACTGAGATAAAGTCAGCATAAATATTCCGCTGAAGTTTCCCCTGTTTTTCTCCTCTCCCCATTTTCATCGGCAGCCCATTTATCTCCATGCTGTCAATTAGAGGCAAAAGCAAAGAACTAATTAGGAACTGTGCAATTTTAATTAGCTGTTTTGATAATTAAACTAATTGGTTCCCTTGTGTTTCTGCAATGTGTGCTGAGAACTTTTTTGATATCTGGGCAGCAGATTTCCCATCCGCTAGTTAATTAGTCACTTTTGCATTAAAAAGGAGCCTTCCTTAATAGCCTTAATTTGCAGTTGAAAGGAGAATCTACCATCAATAATTTGTGTAATTGGTAACCGTTTGATTGTAATTTAGAGGCACGGCCGGACAGCTCTGCATGTCTAATTCCTAATGACTAGGATTAAAGTTGGATTAACTGTTTGGGAAGGGATTCACTCTCCTCTCTACCCCCCAAATGACACCTTGTCTTTATGTGATTGGTCATGAAATTCAAATTGACTAGTTTTGTTTTTTGTTTTTTTTCTTAATTCTTCCTATACGATGAGCTTGTCCAGATACATAAATACATCTACACACATGAATTAAAACAATAAAACAGGGTTTCAGTTTACTAATGCCCTGCTGTTACACTCTCCCCTCTTGTGGGGAATCATATCTGAAAACGGCCACTAGGAGGAGCAGCACTGAAACCTAAGTGCAGACAGTGAATAGAACCTTATTGACTCCAAGGCTTTTAGTCATTTGCATCAGTTGGGTACAATGTACGTGTATATCAGAAACATGTGAAGTAAATGCATTAATGTCAATATGTCCACACATCATTGTCTCATACTTGTGTACAGGTTCTGTGTGCATTTTAATATAGTCAAAGGTCCCCTATAACAACGTGGGGCATTGTCACTTTTCTGATTAAAAAGCCCTGTTCATGTGACTTAGGCAGAATACAATTAAGGGACAAGGCTCTAAAAGCCTATTGCACATAAAAGGAGCACTCTGACTGAGCCTCGCCTGTAAATATCATGTTTGATATGGGCTTTTAATCTGCTTAGCCATTCTCAACTATAGAATAGGCTCATCCCTTTGCTCAAACCTCTGTCCAATGGCTGGGCCCGAGGACCAATGGGAACACAACACTAGTGTGCTATCTGATTAGGTAGGGTTAATTACAGAGCACTGTTTTGTAGTGGCTGCATTTGAGAGCCGCCCATAAATAGATGGGCATGGCTAATGCATGCCCAGAAATGAATTTTAATTAACTGTGTGTAAGACAGGCGCACTTAGGAGTGTGTGTCCTGGATGTACTGACCTGCTATGGGCCAGAGGGGGGCAAGATGACAGCAAAGGCACTGAGGCCTGATGAGAGCAGTGTTACCTGTACACACACAAATACAAATACACAGTGAGCAAGTCCTCTGTGTTCTCACATTATGATACCTGAACACTACAGAAAGTGTGTAACAGCATATTTTTCCTTGCCTTTTCCAGCTGCATTTCATGTCTCCACACATCCAAGTGTCAAATGCCCATTTCAAGTTGATACCGTTTCCTCAGTTTTCTGTGTGATTGGATTAATTATGTGTCAGTCACTTTGCTAGAGGTCAGTGGACATACATTCTTGGTCATAAGTCATCAATCTCTGTGACCATGGAGATGAAAAGTCAAGCATGTCAGCCACAGAGCTGGACAGAGAGGGATCAGACCATTGATTTCAGGGCCAACCCAATCTCAGCAGCAGCCTGTTCCCCTAACTGAAATTATCCCCATGGGCCATATACAGTCCACCTAATACTAATATGATATGTGTTTCATTTGAAGCCTATAACAGTATTTTAAGGGCATGTTTCACTTTGTCTATTTGTTCAGACCATTTGTATTTGTATTTTGCTTGTTATTTGAAAGCTGTATAGTCACACTTGCCAAATATGTAACTCTGTTTTTTAGCTCCAACATTTGATTTTCAAAATATTTTTTTTATTATTTCACAATTCCTAGTTTCCACTATTGTCCGCTGAACTTATTGTGAGTTGATTTGTGTAAAGGAAAACGGCATGTCTAACAGTCAGATGTTATGAGTTACCATGTAGGGGCAATGCTTTGGATAAGTAGCACTAATGATAATGTAGGACTCAAATATGTGGTGCACACAGTGACAGAAGGCAGGGACAGACTGAGTAAGCTCACACCAGCCAGACAGCCTGCTGGCGGCTGATGAACCCGCATCACTGTAGCTTCTCTCCACTCCTCTCCACTCTCCTAAATGGCTAATCTTTGTTGGATCTCACCCTTAATTGGTTAACAGTCTCCGCAGGGCAAGTGAAAGTGGTGCTATTTAGGGCTGCACCATGGAACAGAAACACTTTCATCTTGGCAATAACAGGCAACAATTATATTACCAGATTCGAAAGAGAACCTTTCTATCTCGCCACTAATCAAAAACGCAGCCCATCTGTTGTGCTGTCTCTTTTGAAACGACTGTTTATCTGCGCCGCGTATGATAACTGGGTCTGGACACTAATTAACTGCTCAACAGACCGCAATTAGATTCTATTTCTATTAAATTCAACCAAAAAGTCGCTAGGAAAAAAAAACTGCGCTTGTATTTTATGTTTACTCCAACTGGTGGACCAGCATCACTCTTTCTCTATGCCGCTCTCTCTCCAATCGCTCTCCCTCACATGCACGCTCACTGCTCGTGCGTCAATACAAGCTATTAGTGCATATGCGCGCGCCACCACCTCTCCTGCACGCGCGCATAGACTGTCAGGAAGACACACACGTTACGCACACGCTTTCCCTTAGCTGTGCTTTTGTGTTTTGTCAGAATTAATGAGAAAAGTTCCCTTGCCCTAGGGGTAATTAGTGTCCTTGGAGTTAAATAAGCTAATACTTAGACACCTCTGGCACAAGCAATTATGTTTGTGTATTGAATAATTGATTCAAAGAGGGGGGAAGGGCTGCTAATCAGATCTGAGCATAATGAATTGATTTAATTAACAGGGGAATCCGAGGCTCGGTGGAAACTGCGCACATTTATTCAGTAGCAGCAGCAGCAGTGGCAGCAGTAGCACGGGCGAACACATAGAGCAGGACGAAAGAGGGAAGGAGACACACGCTTTTAGCACTTGTCACATTTGCAATTGGATTTGTTGTGAGTACAGTTGGCTGTTCGGGAGCAAATGAGAACCAGAGAGCAGCGAATTAACTGCGAGAGAGTCGTTTGAGTCTGTTGCGTCCGCGCGCCGCCGACACTGTTGTAGCTACATTTATATCGCTTTACATTGTTTTGCCTTTTCTTTTTCACTCGCATGGAATTGATCAAGAGCCAGCAGCGCGGTTATACGGCTGTGTGTTTGACTTCGCCAGGGTTCGTTCCGTGGCGTGCGTCGCTCTAGATCTATCGCATGAATTATTGTTGATAGTAAGAGGAAGGGAAAACGTGCACACGCCAGATCTTTACATTTTTCCTCGGTGTTGGTTGGCTGATCGAGGCGTAGTCTAGTAGTCAGCCAGCCGCGCGTTTCAAAGCCATTTCCAGGAGCAGCGTAGAGCGGAGCGAGAGGACCACGGATCGCCCGGGGAAGGACTCCTCGTTCCTCAGGACGATGGTGCTGGACAAGGAAGAGGGTGAGTAACGCACCGTGACAGTGGACACGTGGAGGCGCACTGACATTTTAGCACATTTTAGCACATTTTTACGTGTTTTAGGCACAGTGGTCTCACGTGAGTTCAGTTTGACTGTGTGGTGCATGTGTTTTCTTTTCCCTCGCTTCTTCTTCTACGTCTTTTGTAAAGTTCACGGGCAGCTTTTGACATCACTACGGGATGGGAGAGGACAGCACTGCTTTTAACTTGATTGCAAATTATGGGCAGCGCAAGGACCATTTGCCTGAGTCCCATCACTCCCCCTCTATCCAAATAGGCCTCCTTGCATTACTTATTATCTCTCGCAATGTATTTAGGTTAATGGGCGAGGCAATCTAATTAATTTTAATTTAAATCAAACTCGCCACTAATGACGTCCCATTTTGGATTAGGCTGATGTGGAGTTGTGCAGTGCGTTTAGCGGGTCGTGTGTGTGCATTATGGAAGATTTAATATTCAAATGGAGAGGCTCTACAACGCTAAAAGGCTCTGAATTACAGTCATTCTCCGTTTCTAACACTTCCCTAAGAGCCTGCTGTTACACTGAAATCTAGACCACCTGCTGCCACGCACTGTGACAACCTCCATAAGCATAAAAGCCATATCTTTTTGCCTCCTTTTAAGGAAAGACATTTTAGGGGGTGTATTTTTCCAAACTAAAAGCTGCACTTATGGCCAGTGTTTGACATTTAATAACTAACATGTCTCAATAGAGCGTCCTCTCCAACTTACACATCTAATAGCCATAAAAGATTTGTGGTATAGACATAAATTGGTATGTCTGTGCTGCTAATGTATCCAAATTAACTCAACTGTAAATGCTCTTCTCTTTCAGATGTCTGTCTGGCTCTAAGTTACCCATATGATTCATGATTCAGATTGCTTTTAACAGTTATTGGCCAAGCAATATGGTAAATGTACAAGGTGATGCAAATGGCATTAGCGGGAGGGGATGCACAGGAGCATGTAATGCAGTCAATACTACATTAACTACTGATGCCCAATTACAGAACCAGGGAGAGTGGCTTTTAGGAGCATTAGGACTTGCAGAAAAGCTTAGATCACCTGCTGCTCATTGCCTAAAAGCCTAACCCTTTAGTGGCTGGTCTCTAGCTCAACAACAGAGCTGCTTGGATCCTGTCTTTTCCTCCACTCTGCCCCTCTTAGTGTTTATTGGTAGTAAAGTTATAGTCTTGTCAATTCAAGGCTTCTGGTCTAATGTATCCACTTAGTGCGTGCACAAATACGGCAGAGAGGTGTTCACTCACTGTTTTAGTTGGTCAGTGCACAATTCCTGTTTATACATCATGCTATTGAACCAAGTTTCCATATTAAAGGGGTTACAATTACTTTAAGTCTACTGAGACATATGTAATGAACGCAATAAGGCTTGTTTGCAAACAGTAAGGCTCAATTAATGTCTTAGCGTTTTCCAAAATAACATCTAAAACACTCTAATGAACTACAAAATACGTGTAACCTCTTTTATAATTTTATATGCCTCAGTTCTGTCCTTTTGCCTTTATTTTCATTCACCAAAACAATCAGTGTCTTTTGTCTATTCTATATTACTTTAATGACTCGTTTTAAAAGTCAACGTTCACATTCCTTATTTTATTTCTTGCCCTAACCACAGAGGCAGGAGGAGGAAATCTGAGTGTGAGTGAATGAAAAAATCCCCAAGCTACTGATAAATTTGGAGTTACCTTTGCTTGCTAATTTATGACCCTGTTATCTTCCTGTCCAGTAAAATTTGTACATTCATAAAACATGTGATTGAAAAGCACCGCCTCAAATGAATGCAGACGCTGATCTGTCGCCTGTGTAATAAAACTTGTGCTCCGGGCTGCGATTTTTATTTTGAAATAATAGGAATTGCTTCATTCTTTACCGGCGTTACCATGGAAATACTATCTCGTAGCGACGTTATATTGATTTAGAAAGTGGACAGTAATATTTCTTTTCAGTTATTTGGTTTCTGACGGTTGATTTGTAATTTCCAGTTGGAGATTACTTTTATATGTTCCTTAAGTCCGTTCGCATTTCTGAAGGAATGCAATTTGCTCTCCTCTATTTGCTATTTTTCTTAGCTTATTGCTTTGCTCTTACCGCAAAATTAAACTTGCCTATTTCAAATATTGAAATTACGTCTGGTTTTTGTGCTCTAGGCTCCAGCAATATTACAAACCACATTGCTTCATTTGATGTTCCGAATGTCACTGGAGTTTTATTTTAGACCTCTGCTGCAGTTTTCTTACTTTCCTTTTTATAGTTATTGTGGCAGCACTGCTCAAAAGTTTGATTTACTCTGTATCTGCACACAACAAAGACATCAAAATTAAGAGGAAATGAGATAGAGATCATTTAAATAAACAACAAATAAATCAAGGCTGCTATAAACAGTTTTACAGAGATGTTCCAATTACAATGTGGCATTTTCATTATTTGAGCAAATTCATGAAAAGGTCAGTAGGTCAAGGAGAATCCAGATAACTTTTTTGTTCAGAGAATTGTTTATAAAGATACTAACGTCACTCAGAATATGTAATGAGGTTTCGTATATTGGATAGCAAGAGCATTTATCCCAGAACTAGGGCATGTTTTAGTTAGTCTTGCACATTATGCACTACTGGCGGCTAAACTCACGCTTTTCCCTCTCTCCAAAAAAGTTACGTGTAAATATTATTGTTTACCCCCACAGTGAGCTTGTGATCTTGTTGATATTACAATTACGATTTTGTAGCCGTACTAAAAGTCTGTTGCACATTGATGCAGTTATCCACATAATTGTTAGCAGGGCTGTTCTCACGCTTCCCTTTAGCTAAACAAGGACAAAATGAGCTCAAAATCCCATTTTCACATGTCGAGTAGTGTGTGTTTAATTCCATCTAATCTGATCATACAAATGCACAATTTTCACCAGAGACAATTTTGTCTGTCACCGCTAAACCCTCAGATCCCTATCAGCGCTCATCGTTTTACATCTGTTAGTGCCAAGACGTGTGGAGCCTATCATTTAGCATATTCTCTGTCAGATTCAAAGGCTCTGAATAGAGACTTAACAGACACGTGTTAGCCACCGCGCTCCTGTGTTCTATATGTAAATGCAGTGGTGCACAAACCTGCTTATACACTCCACTACATAAGACCATCTCTGTGTTAGCCTCAAGTCTCATGCCCCTCGTGTCAATACACATTTATACAGTGGGAATAGTCACCTCCGCACTTTAAAACTATTGTTGATATTGTGATTCTTTTACATAACTCATTTTCAGCCTAGTAAAACAAAGTCAGTCTATGTGAAATTGGAGGTGTCAAGTTGAGAATTATTTGAGTTAATAACAAAATCCACACAACCCTTACGCAGCCGCTTATGCAACATTTTCTGTAAGTATACTCTTGGTGTCCACTGCTGTTTGCTTGTATGAAAATATTGTTCAACTTGTCCTGCTAAAAACTTGTGCAAGGCGAAGCCAGCTGTTGATGCCAGGCTGAAGAGAATTAAGCATAATTGCTGGTTATATTATTACTGAATATATTTGTGTATTTTACCCTTGTTAAAGATCCACGTGTAGCAACATTCAGTTTTCTCAATTTATTTTTTTCCCGTCAGGAGTATGCAGAGTAACTCTTGTATCTCCAGATTAGTGAGTTCCAACAAGATATGATCAACCTTGTCATTAACAGACAATAGTTCAACAAATCTCGTGATACTGTGTTTTGTGCATCTTTGACTTAGTCTTAGTCAAGTCACGTAAATGTATCTATTTCTATTCATTTTCTAGATCCTTGTATGCATCCACAGAAGGCATAGCTGATCTTATTGATTATACTGATGTCTTTAGAATAGATGAGGGGTGAGACATACACATCAATTCTAAAAAGTGTGCTTTTCTTTAATATACATCATAAATACAATATAACATTATTTCCTGATAAGTCAAGTGTGAGTATTATAGACTATTACAAATGTTTCAAAAGGACTCTAATGTTTTCTGTTTCAAATTAAGTGCTGTAGCTCTATGGATATGTGGAGGAATATGACCTCTAGGGGCTGCTGCTGAGTTCACACTAGTTTAAGTCTGTGATGTTATTATAGGAGAAAGCCTACCACATGGTTTATAATAATCAAAGGGCAGGTGCTCTATTCTTTCCTGACATTTTCTTTTGTTGTTAGTAAATAGAAAGGGCTTATGCATTCTTTCACTTGAGTAAAAAGCACCTTATAACAAAACATGTTGGCCTTCACTAAATCACATTTAAGCAGGTAACTGAAGCTGTAATTAGAAGTTAATTTATTTTCAAAGCATCTAGCTTTCGGATTATTAAATTTAAATTAAATCAGTGAATAGTGATAATGTGTTTTCATGAAACTAGAAACAAAATGAGCTAAATGACTAACATGACTCTGAAGTTTACGTAAATGTAACTACTGGCTGGCCTCTGTAATTACTATTCATTTATTTATTTTAAATTTTCCAAAGACCTTAAACCTTTTAAACTGTTGACATGAATGACTCTTGTGGTGTTAAACTTCACATGAGGATATAAGAGTTGTTCTAATGGACCCATGAGAACACATTTTATACACTCCTTACTTTAACAACCAAACTTACCCCCATCGTCTACTTCTACTGTACTCCTCTACTTGACAGTGATGATGTTATCACGTCATCTGAGGCTATCATTTTATCATGTGGTTGTCCAGTTGTCAGTGGTAAATTCTCTATCTACTATTTTTGAATGCACTACAAAAGTGTGGCATCAGCATGTTACATACTTGTCCTATGTATACTAGTACCACCAGCACAGAAGAGTACAGTTTGCAACTCAATGAGGCATAAGGCATATTGTACTCAATGAGTACAATATGCCTTATGCACCCATTGACTTTTGACCAGGGCCTGGCTGACGGCGATTTTGGTATGGGGCAATGGCTATATTGATAATGTGATGTGTATTAGCTTTTGGTCTCCCAAATA